GGTAAATGGCTTTATAAAAAAGGGGCCTATGAATTGGCATAGGCCAATACATAGTAAGGTTACATAGTAAGGACACATAGTCAGGTTATCTGAACCACCTTCACCTCAGACATCTGCATAGTTGTTTTTCTTCTAGTTCAGTAAGAGCTCTGCTAGGGCAGGCTTCACCAAGAGTTTAGCCACAGTCTCAGGCCTATAAAAAAAAGCAGATTTGGATCTGCCTTCACTCACATGATTGCTTTATGAAAGCCATTTAGGAAATAATGCTATATTTTTTGGCAGCAACATGGCTCTGCTGTCTGAGGGTGATTTATCTGATGTTTATTAGAAACTACACATAACTTGGATTTGTTTTTTCAGCCCAATCTATTAGTCTTTGTCTTTTCATGGAGGAATTCAGTTCATTGGTATTTAGTGTAATAACCAATAAGCTTGATTATATTAATTTAAATTCGATAGCAAGTATATCTATTTATTAAATACAGTTCATGCTCAGTAAATACTAAACAATTGCTTGAGTTTAGGTTTTGACAAGCTGCATTTGAAATGACAGTTGGTGCTGTCATTTATCATAATTGACTGTTAGACAGTTAGAGGTAGGAGCGGACTGGAACCTAGGCCATAAAACAAGACTGGACAAGATACACACTGGCATTATCTGCTCTGTTAGAGTTCTCCAGAGAAGCAGAACCAATAGGTTAGAGAGCGAGAACAAACCTGATGTAAGGAATTGGCTCACACAATTGTAGATACTGGCAAGTTGAAATTTGTAGAGAAGGTGGCAGGCTGGAAATTCAGGTGAGTTGATGTTGCAGTCCATGATCTATAGGCAGGGTGTCTATGTTACAGTTTCAATGCAGAATTCCCTTTTTTGGGAACTCTCAGTCTTTACTCTTAAGGCCATCAACTGATTGGATGAGGCCCATCCACATTAATCTGCTTTTACTCGGCTCATCCCAGGTTTTTGGCAGAGCTTCTAAGACCCTTGGAATCTCTAAAGTGATATGTCTTTGTATGATTCTTGGTGGGCCCCTAGATAGTTTCAGGAGGGGAGCTGGTTGCCAGAGGAACAAAATCAAGGCATGATTAGAAGGTTGGAATTTTCAGGTCCAATCAGACCTCTAGGGAGGGAAAAGGGGTTAGGGATTGAGTTCAATGCCTATGGCCAATGATTTAATCAATCATGCCAATGTAATAGAAGCTCCATAAAACCCGAAACAATGGGGTTTGGAGAGCTTCCAGGTTAAACGCATTGAGGTGCTGATAGGGTGATGTGCCCTACACCTTGCCCTATGCATCTCTTCTGTTGGGCTGTTCCTGAGTGATAGCCTTTATAACAAACCATTAGTAGTACATAAAGCATTTCCCTGAGCTTAATTCTGTGAGCCATTATAGCAAATTATCAGATCTAAGAAGGAGGTAATTTGGGAACCCACTACATATGATAGGCATCTGAAGTAGGGAACAATCTTGTGAGACTGAGCCCTTAAGCTGTGGGGTCTGCACTAATCCCGGGCAGCTAGTGGCAGAATTGAATTGTAGGACACTCAATTGGTATCCAGAGTTGGAGGACTGTTTAGTATGGAAAAAACTCACACATTCGGTGTCAGAAGAGTTATGAGCAGAGGAGTCTTAAGATCTCTTCAACCTGTCCTACTTCCTCACCTCACCCCCAATAGAACAACTATTTTAAGTTTGGTGTGGCCTATCCATTTTTTATACACACTTTTTATACTTTTACAATCATACATGTATCCCTAACAACAGAGTATGATTTCCCCCATGGGTTTGTGATGTATTCTCAATATATGCAATTTCTCATATATATATTAATCTGTTTCTGAGTTTATTATCCTGTGCCACTGGTCTCTGTCTACTCCTATACTAATACTCCAACGTTTTGATTACTATTAGTTTTCCTCTATATCTTGTTATCTGGTAGGCCTAACCTATTTTCTTTGGTCCTTTTCAAAACTGTCTTAGCTACTTGTGCTTTAAAGATTTTTTTTCTTAGAGGAAAAATTTTATCTTCTACAGATACTTGGCCCAGCATGGAAGGGTGAAGGGTCACAGAAAACTTTTTGGAAAAAGAGAGGATAGAAAGGGGGATAGAGAGGATATTCTAATGAGAAAACACGAACAAGCATGAACACAAAAAACAGCACGCAACTGTAGTTTGATATTACTAGAACATAAAGGATTGAAGAAGGGTCCAGTTGGGACCCCGAAAGTAGAGACCTCACAGTGTCCCCAGTTTCACTTTTCCTTGCCCAATAGCTTAACAATAGATTGTCCCCAGCCACAGAAAGTTGCCCTGAAACTTACAATTAATGCCCTTATGCTTTCTGATCACAGTCCTTTTGGTCTAGTGTTCTTTCCAGACTTCTCCCATCTTTGTTTCTGGGTTGCTGATGCCACTGGAGGAACATGTTGCCAGAGGGAAGGCTCCATGAAGCACAACAGACACCCTCCACACCCCAGCCATCATGCAGCCTCTGAAATAATGCCCAGATTTTCCCTTAAATACCCTAAGCCAGACTGAGAAAGTAAGGCAGTTTTTGAAAGTATTAACCTGCTACCTTCTCAGATCACCAGTGCTGACAATAAATGCTTATTCTAAATAGCCCAACTCCTGTGTCCATCTATGGGCTGAGGAGCACAGGCAGCACAAGCCCTGGCCTCGGATGCTCTCCAGTAACAGGATAAGGTAGGAACATAAGGTAAGTCAGGTCTTAAGGACTTCATAAGCCATACTGAGGAGTCAGAGATTCTTAACCTAGTGTCTATGGTTAAGCTTCAGAGGGGATTTAAAACAGGCAGTGCCATAATCCAATTTGTTTCAAATAGATGTCTCTGAAAGCAATGTAACAAGTAAATCTGATGAGGTCAAGACTGGAACCAAGACTATTAAAAGTTTTCTGCAAAAGTGTAAACAAGAAATCAGAAGAACTGATTAAGTGGATGTTTAAAAGGTAAAAATTTAGTAAGACAATTACTTGGTTGAGAGTAGGGTACAGGGACTACTCTAATAAATCTCCCATATTTCTGACTTGGATGATAGTACCATTAACTAAAATAGGGGAAAAAACATGAGTAGATCCTGGAGATGAGAAAGAATGCTGTTAATTGTAGACATGTCAAGTTAGAGATTATAGGAAATTTAAGTGAATATATCAAGCAGTGGATCTATCTGAAACTCAAAAAGGTCAACCTGGAAGAGACAGTCTTGGAGGTCAGCAGCAGGCATTAAGAGCTGACATTCATTGAGAGCTTATCATGTGTCAGAGTATTAAATACTTAACATGAATGATCTCATTTAATCTTCAAACTAAACTTTTAAACTAGGAATTTTTTTTAATCCACATTTGACAGCGGTAAACTGAGGAGTTAAGAGTAACTGGCCTATTGCAATATAGCTATAATAGTGAAGCCAGGATACCAACACTGAGCACTTACTACATTTTGTAATGTTAAAACCATTGAGTACCTAAAATAATTGAGAACGTACAGAATAAAACAGACCAAGAACAAAACTTTGAAACACATCAGTGTTTAAAGTGGGCAGAAGGAATCAAAAGGAAAAGTGAAAGGTATAGAAGGGAACAAGATAGTGGTACCTCCCTGTGGCTAAAGCAGAGCTTTGTGCCCCAGGAAACAATGAGGTGGGGACTGAAATCATCAGTGGGTGTGGCACAATGGAGACATTAACTAGGGGTTCCAGTGGAGAGGTGGAGGTGGAGGGGACTTCAAGGTCCAGGAAGCGATATCCTGTGAGACCTCTCCTTAAATAATACTGTATAGTGTTTTGGTAGGGGGTAGGGGGCCGTAAGCCTCTAACTCACCCTCTCCTGAGAAGAAAGAAGAGGGTGAGTTAGAGATAACTAATGGAGCAAGGTCTGGGTTGAGGAGGATAAAGATGGAGGCAGAGGCTACACAGAAGTTGTTCAGGAGATCAGCTGTAGGCATAGGTTTGGACAGGAAAGCAGTTTAGGTCAAGGGGCTGACAGATTGAATAGAAGGAATCAAAAGATTTGAAGTCTCCAAGTTCTAGAATAGAGCAGAAATGAGAATGAGAGAAAGCTCCTCAGAAAGGACTGATTTTATACTGTTTGAAAATGATGCTGGGGAACTAGGAGAATGGTGACACTACTGTACAGGTGAGAAAGAGAAGGCAGTAGAGTCCTTGGTTAACACGCCAAGAAAGGATGGGAGTAAAACGGCTGAAGATAGTGTTGTTGTTTTTTTTTAAATCAAGGAAGAGGGCTTTCAGGTGAAAGGTTTAGGAGTAGGGGGGACAAAGGCCAGAGCAGTATGCACCTAAGAGAATGAGAAAAGACAAGATGTCCAAGAGGGTGGATATTTGGGATGATCACCAATAATGACATGAAAAAGCTATAGTCAAAGCTCAAAATGAAATGGTAGCAATGATCTCTCTCTTCATAGATGGGTTTTACCTTGAATGTATCATTATATTTTCTTTTGAATCCTCTTCACAACTCTGCAATAAGACCTGCAGATAGATGTCCCTTAAAATGAGAAATCGACCCTAATGCTACACCTGCTGAGTTCAAGGAAGTGAACTGCATTACTATAGGCTGCCCAACAACCCCCGCCTTTGAGAACTATGCCTCCTCCACTTGGTGCAATTTTAATGGGGCTGTTAAACAAGGACTTCTGCTTTCCATGAATCAGGGGTGCACATGTGGCCATGCTGGCCAGAGTACCCCATTATCTGGATACAGTAATTACTCCAGGAATGGTCAATGACCACAGAAGAGCTCTAGTCTTTACAGTCTTTTCAGGGGATTTATACAGATGCTGGGATAGTCTTTTCTCTGAAATCATGACAGTCGATATTATTACTCCTAAAACTATGTATCTCCCATCTCATGAGTACTAAGAACTCAAGATATGGAAATCCAGTCTGTGACTAGAAAACTGGTAGTCAAGGCCTCACCTCTGTGGACCACACCCTATTTAAGTAAACAAAAACACCAAGACACAGACATGGCAAAATATTTAATGTCTGTTGGTGTGCCTCATCCTTTTATGATTTGATAGCCTCCCCAAACTGGCAGTTCCAGAGAAAACACGGGCACTTTTCCCCAGCAGGGTTTGAAAACCATTAAGACCCTACTAGTCTCTTGACTTGGATGTGATTGCAGGTGAGGTCTTTCCACAGCATGCCTCTCTGGTCAAGGAAAAATAGACCGCTCTACAGGGCTCCTGATGTCTTCTGTTCTTCTGCAGCCTGGCGCTGGGAGCTGCGCCGCTGGAAATAGCGGTAGGCTCGGACACTGCAGAGGTAACCGCCATACACAGTGAGAAGCATCATGGAGGTGGAGAAGGTCTTGTAACCAATGTCAGCTAGTTGCTTGGCAGTTGGCATGTCGTCCCCTACAAAGACAGATTGGATTGAGACCCAAGGATAGACCTCATCTGCCCAGCCCACTTCCCTGTTTAAGGCCATTCCATAACTTCTGCATCCTGCCTATGTCTACACTCTATTTTGAATGGCCCCTACACATATGCAGAGTCTTTTACTAGAAGACAAAGTCTCAGAATGTTGATTCAAAGCGGCAAATAAAGTCTGCATATGAGATACAAAAACACGGCTGGAACCAGGTGCATCTGAATGACATATTAGTTAACACTTGGCCCTCCATGTTTGTGGAAAGAAGTCGCTGGTAGGAACCACCCAGAAATGTTAATTGGTATATTACTTTAAGCATGCATCACTTTTTCTGGCTAGTAGGCAATTAATTAATGGAGGTAGCCAGAGATTAAACATAATGAGTAAATTATTCTCTGTAGGAGGATCAAATGGGAAACTTCTAAGCAATATCCAATTTATTTCCCCATAAAGACACTCTTATTCACAGTGGTTAGGTTCCCAGGTTAGCCCTCAAGCATCTGTTTAAGCCATAATATACCTGAAATAGTGCCAAAAGAACCTTTATATTATTTCAATTATACTTAACCTACTACAGCATTAATTCTAAGTTCCAAACACAACACCAAGAACCTATCCCAAGGGCTAAAAAGAAATTTACCGAGTCCCCAGCAAATTGTTAACTCACATTCGCATGAGATAAATTACTTCTAGTTTAACTGTTCCCTGGATATTCTCAGCTAGGGAACCAGAGGAAGTTTAGCATAGCAATCTTTCATCCTGAACAAAACGTTCCTCAATTTAAGACTGTGTTTTTAGACTCCTCTCTGTCGAGGGAATTGAAATTAAAAGACTGAAATTAGTCAGAATAAGTTAAAAAGTCAAGAATTTGGAAGAAGCTAAGGATTAGCTGGCTCAGAGGGTCAGGAGTAGGGTGAGACCTAGAAGTGCTTTTCTGAGTGAGTCCTATGGGCTGAATGTACATTGCCTGAGCCAACCCTTGAGGGTATACTCCTCCAAGCTGAACTGAGGCACAGCTTCCTTGAATTATAATTCCAAGTGACTATGGAAAGTGACTTTAAATAGGTCAGAGGAAGAAAACCAAATGGCCCAGGTGCAAGATGAGAAAGGGCTGTGTTCAGGTTATCTCTTTGAAAGGACCTCAAGCTGTGAGGTAGTGAAGAAAACAGAGAGAGCATGAGGGAGACAGCGAAAGCGAGCCCAATACTGAAGTAGTAAACAAGCTCCTAGCAAAGAGGTTTGCAGACCTTTAATCTCCCCCTACTTCTTTTTCCTCCTATCTCCCATTACCCTGGCCAGATGCTAACCAGTTACAGGGTCACCTTTTCCAGGGTCTGAAGGAAGAGGGCTGGAAGCCAACAAAGAAACAAGATGGTATAACCTAGCAAGAATGGTGACAGGAGACTTACTAATGGATGTAATTTTGGTGTCTAGAACCTCACTTCCTTCTCTTATCTAATCCAAGATTTCTATTTTCAAATTAACAAAAACTCTTCACAGACTCCCAGCAAGGCAATAGAAAAGGAGAAAACAGATGCAGAAATTCAAACAAGATTAACTTAATGGATCAGGGCAAAGCTGAAAACATCTACAAAGCAGCAAGTTAGAAAACTTTGTGAATTGGGATACTGTTAATAGAAATAAGAAATGAGAAGAAACAGGTGTATGTTATTGTGTGTGTACCAGAGTGGTGGTGGCAGTGTGTCAAGATGATCATGAGCTAGGTTTTGACACGTTAAAATTAAGATGCTCAACACAACATTCATGCGATGATGTCTATCAGACAGATGCATATGCAAATCTGGATACATTTTGGGAGAAGCTAGGCTACAGATCGAGGAAACAAGGGACACCAAATGATTAGAGGGAGACAGGCCAAGGGAATGCTGGTTTTGAGGAAGCAGAATAGTTAAGAAGTCAGGTAGGAAATTCGAGAAACACCTAGGGGGCTTTTTCATTTAACTACATCCCCTTGTTGAAAACCACTGCTGTATTAACTCATTGCCACTGATGGAGGTGTGCTGTATCCTTCAGGTGTGCTGGGCCAGAATGAAAACTGAGAACCACTATTGCAAAGTTATGCTCTGTGAAGTCTGGTCTGATGGACTCACTGAATGGCAATAGGTGACTAGATCACGGGTAAACCTAGGGTAGAAGTTAATTTAGTGCACTGAACTCAACAGGCATTCAGTAAAAAGCAGATTCGTAGCCACAGCTCTAAGAGGCCCATAAACCCTGACCCCCAAGGTCAGAGCTACTGGAGTCTGAGCGTGGAGGGCCAAGCCTCCCTATAGGAGTCAAGGTTTGACAGGAAAGTACGGCTGCAAAGAGCTTGTTGGGCTGGAAGCAATGCAAATAGCGGCAGAATAGCCAGTGACCTCTAGGACACCAGAGCCTAAAGATTGGGGCATGGGAGGAAGCGGTAAGTAAAGGCCGGCCCAAGCAGGCGCGCCTCGGCGGAAAGGCGGCCCCTGCTCGGCCCCAGCAGACGGCGTACCTGGATGTTGCACCTCCCTCGCTTGCAACCAAGACCTCCACAGGCAGCGTCTCGCCACCACAGTCTGCGCAACCTCGTAGCGCAGCCGGGACCTAGAGCAGCGGCCCAGGAACAACCCTAGACGCTGAGGCGCTATTGGCGAGGAAAGCCACTATTTCTCCCTCCCACCCACCCCACTTAACCCCTAAGATTCGACTCCCCACCCAAGAGAGTGCACGGCGCCCCGGATGAAACACAACTCCGCCCACTGGGGCGGGAGCCCGCGCCCGCCGCAGCTCCGGCTGGTTGCCGCCCTTGAACTTCCGGGCCAGTCACCCTTACTACGCATTTTCAGACGAATCTTCCTCTCCAAGAAGCCCGTTGAATTCTGGGGATTGTAGTCATTTTCCATTGAGAGAGTGTCCTTGATGACTCAACCTCTGGAACCAGAACTTTTAAAATACTCAGTCACAGTGGAAAAGACGATCATTTTCGCCGAGACGATCTTTCTCAGCCAGTCAATCCCCAGCCTATGGTGACTTCTTCGGTAGCTAGGTAGATACTCTCGGGGTCAGCCCTCTGGAGGTGGACCACGCGCCCCCTAGACCTGGAGTTGCCCTCTTCCCCGTGGCCTGACTTTGGCCTAGCTCAGGTAGGAACCTGACCACATCGCGAGGTCTGGACCGCCAAGGATGCGGCAGGTCTACCCATGACCACAGAGTAGGCACAAGGGATGTTTCTGTCCCATGTGTGACCTCTCCGCTCGCAGGCGGATGAATAAGCTCCGAAGAAACGCTATTAAGGGGCTAAGAGAGGGGTTGCCACTTGGGAGGAGGACTGCGTCGGCACCCAGGCTATGGGCAGGGAGTGGCTGGGATTAAGGTGGAGGGCCAAGCCTCCCAACAGGAGTCAAGGTTTGAGTGAAAACATACACGCAGTGATGCACCACAGCATAGGCACTGCCACATGGATTGAAGCACCCTTCTCCAACTCATTTCCGGAAAAACCACGCTTTATTGGGTAGTCTGGGGGAGGGGGGAAGGGATTCGAAAGCCTCCGATTCAGTTAACAGTGGCGTGAACAAAAACAGGCAAACGTGTTTGACTAACAAGGTCGCTGCTGCAGCTGAGGGAAGAGAGCTGTCTTTCTACCCCCACTTTGGCCTTCTGGATTCAGTCAGTGCTTCCAACCTGGGCCCAGCCAGATCTGGGGTTATTGTGCCCCTCTCTCCCTCTGAACCAGGCACCTCTGCCCTTCACTGGTAAGAAAGTGAATTCTCAAGGGCTAGAGGCTGAGAGGAGCCTGCCTCTTCGGTTTGGCGGGGAATAAGAGAGAGTTAACAATGCTGGCCACAGCCACAATGTGAGGTGCTGCTACACAGGAAACTGAGTCCCTCTGCTCCATGCTGTAGGAGTGAGTCTCTTAGGCCCTTGGGGACTATTTATATCTAGGAGTCCAGGCTGCTGACCTGTGACATTCTTCTACTGCCACCCTATCCTGGAGCAAGGCCAATGTAAAGCACACTCCTCTCCCTCCTCCCCTTTCTGTTCTTCCCTCACCCCAGGAGGTAGGGTGGTTTTAATTTTTTTCCTCCTTGAGTTTCCCAGCTCCTGAGGTGCTGATATATATATATA